CATCGCCAACGAGTGCCCATCGCCGGAGGGAGCGTCACGGCCTGCGAAGCCAATCATAGAGAGGAGCAACTACGCTCGAATGCCCAGTATATACCTGGCGTGGGGTACACAGGAGCGGAAGAGTACCCACTGGCAAGTGAGTCCCGAAAACCGTCTACACAGGCGGTACCATAAGCCGAACAGAACTGCCGATAAAATACTGCAGTGCCGACACTCGAGATCGAGTCCAGATACACATGCCAGCCGTAAGCATATGCCGCCGCAATCGTACCACAACAACGGCAAAAGGGCGGGAGGTGTGAAACGGAACCGAGAAAAAAACCCGCAACCCCCGAAACCAAACAGAAAACTACACTAAACCCCCAAATGGAAATCAAAATTTGCCGAAACTATTGGAAAAGCTAAAATGACCCAAACTAAAAGGGAATACCCTTGCTTGGCAACTACAGCCAAGCCGCAGATGCACCTGCGAGCCTTGCTTCAATAGTGTACACATGCAGCTATCTCTTCAGCCACTTCCTTGCCCATCTTATCTCCGAATCTCCTAAAGGTTGACTGCACCATTTTGAATGGATAGCCCCTGATAAGGAGTTCCCTTTTCACTGCTAAGATCGTCTCCCGGAGACCCCAAATATCCGAGGTTAGTCGAAACAGTCTATGCAGCGTACTCAAAATAGCACCAACCTTGGCCCTCTTTCCGGAGTAGGAGACAAAATCTTGAAAACTCCCAAAAACCAAGTCACCAGATTCCCAGATGGAGGTCAAGTTCTTCATCAAGGCCACAGTGCGTAATGCCACGCCATACTGAAAAACATCAATGCCAACAAAAGTCCAGTGCCCTGCGCCGTCGTCCGTTCTCAACAACCGAAGAACAAAACCATAACATGTTCCAAAAGCGTAGAGAATACATGCTGCCCTCAAATCCCCGTTATCTCCGGCCACTGCCATGAAAATAGTGACATCATCAATGATTCTAAAGCCATCGACGAGCCGCCGTTCCATCCCCAGGTTGGAGAGAAACATCCACTTCGCGTAGGTACAAAGAATGCATGCCAGGGGGCAGCTAGAAGACTTACCCATTGGTACCCCCACGACTTGCCCCAACAGCACGCCCCCGGAGCTGATAAACGCAAAAGCAAGGTCAAATAACACCATGTCACGAATGGATACTAAAGAGATCATGATGCATTCATCCCTCGATCCGCCATAAGAAAGCCAAGCCTGCCGCCCTCTTTTGGACACTTTAACACCTCTGCAGTCTTTCGCCGCAAAGTATTGCAAAAACCAATCAACTGCCTTAATGATATCAGCATGAGGGAGCGAAACAAACATTTCCTTGATATCGAATGAGGCAGACAAGAGATCACGGTAGCCAAGTATGATCCTAAAGCGCCGATCCATCCTATGCATACCCGGAACAAAATCCATCACAGACTTCAGATTGAAGGAGGTCCGCTCTGGCAAAGAAAAGAGCAAGGCATTCAAAGCCCTAGCTACTCGTGCGCTAGCAAACCTAGTAGGTTTTGCACAAGTTGGTGAAATGGGACGCCACCTAGACAAGTCCTTATGCTTAGGCAACACATAGGCATTGCCAAAAGTGCCAGAAGAGTCTCATTTCCCCAACCTGCACAAGCCACGGTCCTCAAAAGATTCTTTCATCTCCAGGCGAATATCCTTCTCATGGATACTGGTCGGAGAGAAGGACAAGTTTCAGTTGAAGTTAAGGAACAAATAGTGTCGATAAATAACCGGACAAATGACCAACGTGTCGGCCGGATTCCGGTCAATAGGAACACAGACGAAAGACCTCAGCCGATTATACCAGATACGCAAATCAAGAGGGAAGGACAGATCTTCATCAGGACACGAAGAAATCCAACAACCTGAAAGATCCTGAATGGCCACTACAAAGGTAGAACGCAAGTAAGCAGCCACTGCGACCAATTGCTTACCCAACTCATTCGATCCCTGCCGAGGCAACACTCTCGGAATATTCCTAGAGTTACGTAACAAAATTGGAATCCCGGGTATACGACTAATGCGTGTGCATACATGAAGGCCAGCCCTGTCCCAAGCAGATTCTAGAAAGCAACAACAACTCGGTTCTTCCCTCTATCGAGTGAACTGATGAAAATTCCACAGGTAACAAGAAACATGTCTATTCTTTCGCCATATGAACCTGATCTTCCTTCGCACGAGCTCCCTAACCCCCAAAGGAAAAGATGAGAGCTCCAAAATCCTCAGAATTAATGCATGCACCCTAGATGTGCTCAACCTATGATCGTAGCGCATGCGGACAACAACACGCCTACGAACATCGATCCTGACCTTGGCTTTAATAGCCCTAGCTAAGATCCCTCTTAGCGTAGTTCAGGTGCATTTGCCCGAAAAATCGCGAATAGCCCTATACCATTTTACCAGGGTGTCCACTGTTTTGAATTTAAGTAGGCGCCGCCTCCAAGGTTGGTGCAAAAGCATACGTAGATGTCCTTTAGAGATAGCCCTCCCACCAGGCGTAAAAACGAAGGGAACAAAAAACCAAAGGCCACCCTGTTCGAGGATATGCTTCAACTCACGCAAAGCAAAACATGCATTCCCCACTCGTAACGAAGTTAGTCCAAAACATCTCCTAATGAGAGGCCAAGTATCCGCCCATAAGGATCCTCCAAGGATCTCAATCCAAAGACCCTTCGAGTTACGCAGAAGAGCGGAGCGTAAGACCGTAAGCAAGCTATCACTCCATTGCCCATTCCTCTCCCTAAACTTCAGGATCCCACACTCGACCTGTAAAACTCCTTTGCCTCTCTTTCTTATTCGGGCTAGCCTAGAAGGCCTACGCAATGTCCGGACCTTCTTACGAAAGTTCAATACCGGTGAGAAATTCTTAATGAGAGCTCTTTCCGCGGTCGCTACTGAGACAACATCATTCAGAAGCGGCAAAGTCACATACTTAGATACACCGAAGTGCCTCAGCCACCGATAGAGCCTAGGACAGACGCCCAGACCCTGCGCTTTTACCGTACGCAAGTGCTCTCCCCAACGTACGTATATACTACGCACTGAACAACCAACATATTGCGCCTTACACCAAGGTGACGAGAGTAAGTACACAACCGAGCCTGACTGCCAATTATCCCAATTAACGTTCAACAAAAGTGACCGAAACTTATGCATTCATGTAATCTCACCCAGGAAGGACAAGGCGACAAAACACAATGTGACACACGTGTCAAAAAGAAAATGGATACGAGGTGAAGCTCCACAATCGCAAGCCACCGTGCGGAGTCTCATACATTCAAAAAGATTGGACCAGAGACGGAAGCGAGCAAAAGACGAAAGTCACCTAGCCGGCGTTTGGTCATCCTCTGGACTTGCTGCCGGTGACGCAGGGGTGAAAATGAATCCTTCATAAGCTACCTTAGCATATGCCTCAATAATCTTCTGAATAGTGGGCGCCTTGGTGGTATACTGAACCCCCTCATTAGCGCAGATCGCCTTCAATTGGTCCTTGTTCTTAGTCATTAGAAGCTTCCTCTGGGCTTGTACATACGCCAACACCCCTTCTGGACCCGATCCCACAGCTACCTTGGTTTTACGCCGTTCCTCCCCCATATGAGAAGACTCTGCGGCTGCCACATCATCATCTTGTTGGAAGATCGGTTGTCTGAATGGTCGCCTAGCTGCGCCCGAGAGAGCTTTCCCTTTCCTCTTTCTCTCACGGATCTCATGCAACTTAGCGGTTTTATCTTCAATCTCCTCAAGACCCTTACATGAGTAACCCACAACTTCACCATCCGTACACTTCCTGGCCGACGTTCGGACAAAAGGCGAGTTAACCTCCTCCCTTCTAACTTCATCGCGGGCCATTAGGTATTGCCTTCCAATCTTCGACATCACCCTAGGCTCTAACGCCTCAGAATTTCGTTCAATCTCCATTCTAATCATCTCATCCATCTTCCTACGCTCTTCCAAGTCCCTCTTTCTGGCCTGCTCCTCCTTCTTCTCGGCAATCAGCTGGCGCAAAAACTCACGTTCCTCAGGCTCTTCCTGAGCTCGCCTTGGCGTCCAATAACGCGGCGTTGAAGCAGGGGTCCCGCCACCGCCACCGCCCGTTCCAACGTTGTTGTGCGTTGATGGACATTCCTGCGCGAAATGCCCCTCACCCCCACAATTGAAACATTTAGTACCTCCGCCATTAGCCGCCATGATACACGTGGACGAGAGGAGAAGAGAAAACAGAGGGAACGCGAAGGGTACTCAGAGGTGAAAAGGCGCAAGAAATGAGAAACAAAAGTAGGAGGAAAGGGAATCTAACACCACGTGCGGTCCTAGAGAGGAAAAAATAAAATAGCAAAACAAGCAAAATACACAAACTAATCCTGTCTGACGATTACACGAATAGTATGCGACTCTTCATCATAGGAAATCACGATCCTAATAAGCACACCCGCTTCTTCTAACCACAAGGCACATTTCAGCAACGCACGATCCATCTCGAATCATAGACACTAATCGAAGGCGCGACCACCACCCAATGTGCAATTTCACTGGAGGTTGTCACGTGCATCATGGAAGAGAGGACTGCCCGGCAATAGACAACTTTAGCATGAGGACGGAGATGAAAAGATACACCCATTCCAAGCACACCGTCACGCACACCGACAAAGTATTGAACCTCGATCAAATACTCCAA